AGAAGAGTTGCAATCAAAACCTTTCGACTTCATGTTATAGAAACCAGAGTTAAACCTTGCTGAGAAGGCTTCATGACTTGAACAAATAAATTACAGATAATATTCTAAAACTACAACATGTAGCAGTTACATATCCGAGAAAAACACAAAGAACAGAATGTGTTCTCATGTAATTCAGAGATGTGGACCCAGCCTAACAGATTGGGAAAAATGTACCACACTATAGTAAATGTAATTGTTATGTGTTTATAGGGCTAGGTGGCCTAACTCAAATGGCCTTGAAACCTCTTCTATATCGTGAGAAAACATAAACAAAAATATACTGCGACATTTCCTACAAAATGTCTGAAACTTGTGCCACACAATAATAAGAACATTTAAAAAATGAAAATGACCATGAAATGTGCGTAATGCAGAGTGTATTCAGTATTTATTTGTGGAAAACTATATTTCAAATAGTTTATTCCAGAAACAATAATTGCATATTTTAAAAGCATCTCATTTTACAGAAGGAGGTTAAAGTGAGGACACTCGAACCGTGAACACTTGATATTTGTTTGTACATTTTTTCAGTGACCATAGAATGCGGGATCGTCCTTTTGACAAGAGTATTTAGTGTTTTTACACTTTAAAAATGCTAACACTATACATTATAAGAAGAGCCTCTATTCCATAGTCGTCAAAAAAATGTACACAAAAATGTCAAGCGTTCACGGTTTGAGCGTCCTTACTGAAATTGCAGCCTAAATCTAGTTCCTAAAATGAACTCTTGATTGATATATACTCTTTTTTTTTTAAATTTTACACATACTGGTGGGCAGTTTAGTTTCAAGATCCATAAACATTGCATTAACATTACTTGCAGAAACTGAATAGACAGTATCAAGTTTGAATTAACTAATTAACAGAAATGTTATAGCTACCTGATAATTTGAAATGAAAATCTTTTGAAACTCAACAGAAGTCCTCTAAAGAGAAGATGCTTTACACAAATACAAGGAAATATATTTACAATAACAATGATGCTAAATTGAGTAAAAGTTCTGTTGGTTTCACATCCCATAAAAATTCATCACAATACTGTAAACAACTACAGAGCCAATGATCTACTGAGTTTTCACACTGGCTTTATTGTTGAAAAAAATTGTGCCACTAAGAAAACTATGATGAAAATCTTTCATTAATAATTAAATTAAAAGTAACCACTGTTTTGTCAAATCTTGCCAAATAATAAATCTATTTATTGTAACTTTGAGGCAAAAAATGGATGTAACTTCCTTTTTGTTTCAATGGTGTTTTTTTTTTTCACAGAATTGGCACAGAAGTGTTATATCAATTTACACTACAGAAAACGTAAGTGTATTTTTTACAGAATCACTTGCAGTTTAAGGTTTAACATGATTAACTGAAAGAGAGAAATTTTACGAAAACTGGAGAGAATTCCAAAGTAGTTTGGTATGTGTAAGTGAGGAATAATTTACCACATTTAATGCCTCTTGTTTAATATCCATGTGCAAGAAGATTTGTATTTAATCTAGCAAGTTTCATGTTAAAACTAGCACACATGCAAGACGTGACATAGACAAATCCATTAGCACAGAAGTGTAATGTGTAATCTGTATTTTATAAAAGTTTCCAGCAAGTAAAAAAATTGCTGGCTGTGTGTAACAGGAGACTATGTCGTTCTTGGAAAAACCTTAACCTGTGAAAAAATATCTATATAACAGAAATTATCCAAGTTCTTAAAGTTAAATAAAATCAGAAATTAATTTTAACTTGATTGCAAGTTTGACATGGGTTTGTAAGTAATGCCTTACACACTGTTCATTTATCCTTGTCCAATGTCAAAAGCAAATTTAGTTGTAGCTGTTTTTATCAGAAATAAACAATGAGCTGGATGCATTTTATACATAATAAAGCACACCAATTCATGAATCGAAGAACATTTTGGGATCAAAAACCATGTTTACAAGTAAGTTAACACAAAATTTTGTGAGAACCATGTCTGAAGGCAAAATATTTATAATAAAAACTCACCATTTGCAGCAAATGAGCTGGGTTGATTTACACGAGGTTGGCTCACAACACCTCCATTAACATATGGAGGACTAGTCCATGGCCCATACTGTGAATTCAGTGGAAATCCATTAGGTACGCTATCAACAGTTGTTGGTGTAGATGACATAGCTGGTTGAAACCCACCAAACATCCTCTGTGGGATTGCTGTGGGTGCCTGGTAGAAGCCATTAACAGGCTGTAGGTGTGAATTGGGCACAGCAGAATGGTTCACACCATTAGCTACAGTGTGTATTGAATGCGTCATTGGTTGCAAAACAGCTGGCTGGGTATCTGATATAGCAGGTGGAGAAACCTGTGAGTGTGGACTTCCTTGGAATGTTTCTACACTTGGACTGCTTTGCTGGCTATCTGCAGCTGCTTGGCTCACACCTCCAGCCAACAGCTCTTTCATAAATATGTCAGTGTTACTAAGATCTGGTTCACTTGTGCGCGATGATCTACTAGATGAAGGTCGAGAGCTTGAGTTATCAATCCCATTGAGGTTCAGTTGGAAGTTTTCTTCAGGAGCAAATCCATTTTCAGATCCTCTTCTTGGACTATTGTGCGCTGGACTGATTGAGCCATTTGGTGTCTGACTGCCAGGCCTGTGACCACCTCGTATAAATGTTACCTCTGTGTCTTGTCCTCTGTTCATAAACAACACATCAAATATTAATTATTCCAGTTATAAACTGGCTTTCCCTGCTCTAAAGCTTTTGGACAACTTTTTAATCAAGGAGATCAGTGATGAAAAACAGAAAATCATCATCTGGGGGACTTGTGATTTTAATGGTAAAACCAATTCTCAAAGCTTTACTTTTATAAGGTAGCATGAACATTCAACATAATTCAAGAGACTTAAATCTTGTATTCCATGATTGTACTCTTGTCCTTCACAATGCCTGCGAAATTTGAAACTTAATTTATTATTGATTTTAAATTGCTTTCTACTTAGTATTGCTCTTGATGTGTAAATTTCAACGCTACAGCAGTTGTACAGATAACACAAAACAACATGATTCTAAAGGATGAAATCACTACTAACATATTAGTAACGAATTTTAAAATAATATTATGCCCTGCATCAAACAGAAGAAACTTAGTGTCAAGTAATAACATTTGACAACCCAAATTGCACCTTATTTAGCGGCAGTTCTCTGTCATGCATTTGTGTGAACATTTATACTGCACATTAAAGAAAACTTCATCTTAGTGCTTAAGCATATTGCAATGGTTATGCAATTTTGTAGGTACTGTAGGTATAAACTTTCTCTCAATGGCAGCAAGCTTTACTTAATATTTACTTAAAGCAGAGCTGTTTCTCAACAAGTGTTTGTTCTAGTACTTGCTTCATCTTCCTAAAATCATTACCGGTACTCTGTCCCAGATGGCTAAATACGATACAAATATCCATTTCCCAAACTTGAATTACAGCTGACCCTCGCACAGTTCACTGGAAGATAAGATCAACCTGCTGCCAAGGCACAACAAACACTAGACACCTGAGACATGCATCAGACAAATAAATTGTTGTAATACCTGAGTTTAAGTCTTGTTAACAGAGATTTTGCTTGCTCATGTGTGACACCAATGAGAGTCTCTCCATTTATGTACATAAGTCGATCTCCTCTTTTGAGTCTTCTGTCCTGTAACAAAATAAATGTCCCTGCTTTTAATGTGTTTTAGATGGTAGTTGTCATGAGGGATTCCAGTTTCATGATTAAAGCTACATTTCAATTTATGTTTAAATACCTAAGAGCAGGTGTCAGCAGGTACCCTGAATAATCCAGAATGAGTGAATTTGAAATGAAATTGCAAAAATTAAAAAATAGTGTAAATTTTGTCAGGTTCAAAAATAAAAGTTTCAAAAGTAAAGGTTCATGAGCTTTGTATTTGAGAATCTGTCAATTAAACGATCTACATTTTTTGCTATTTGATGCTTTAAAAAGACTTACACTGGATATGTATTGTTTTTTGGAGAAACAAAACAATGGTCACAGCAATTAGACCCACCTGGAGACTTCAAAGTGTCTTGAGGCTAACAAAGCAGTGTGTATACACAGCTTAAAGACTATGAATATGGTTTTGGTGGAAAGCCCCAAAACATATTCATGAGTGTCTGCCTGGCCAGAATAGTTAAATGGATTCTGTTTTGAATGTGAAATCTTGAAAATTAATTCATCAAGTAACAAAATATCGATATATATTTATGCATAATTTGTTTGAACTACAAATACATGACAATATCGAGTTTTTTCAATCTACAACACATTTTCTTCCTTTTTTCAAAGCTGTATTTATTTCAATCAACACTAACTTATATCAAACACATGTTGCAGGGTTCAAAATGAAATAATACAGAGTGAAGGAAAACAGTTCTTAAAAAATTGAAAAGTGAGATTTTGCTGGAGTGAGATTGCTGGCACTAATTAAGAAATAATTTAAGATTCATAAGTATAACAGCTGCAAGTTTAAATCTTATTGTTCAATATTCTTTTCACTTATCTTTTTGGTTCTTTAAATTTCACTAAATCAAGGGTTTCAAATTACTGGCTCTTGAAACTTTTTATTTTTATTTTTATTTTTACAGTGCAACAACTTTGTTGGGGTCACCTCAGAGTTTTCAATCAATCATCTGTCCAGGGCACAATTTTAAACCATAAGAAAATATGTTTTAGCAGTGTGAATGTTAGCTCTCGGAACACACAGTTCTCTTTGGCCTCAAATTACATTCAAATTTTGCTGACTTGAATGGCACAACAAATGAGCAATGAAAATAATTTGAACTCAGCACAAACAGATTGAATGGACACTCGTCATGAATGTGTTATGGTTTAAATATATTTTTGTTTTAATTTTTTTTAAACCAGTTTAAATTTTGCAAACCGGTTCATATTTTTCAAACTGGGTTAGGATGTCCACAGTGTGTTGAAATCATTGTTTTATTTATAGTTGCTAAACCGTGCAGAGTTGTTTGTCAGTGTTGGGTCACAATAGCTGGTTCATTTAAAAATATTTTTGCTGCCACATTCAAAGTCTCAGAGTAATTTTCCTAACTTTTTAGTCAACATGAAAGTTATTTGTTTCACATTATGATTTTGTCACTGTAAGATGAAGAGATGTCTCCTACATGCTGATTTCAAACAACATTAAATGTTGTTGCTTGTTTGTCATGAGTGCTGTTAAAATCAACAAAATTTGAACACATTTAGCAGCCAATCAAAATTGTCTGTTCCAATGGTCAACAATCATACTGCTAGAACATGATTGACGAGATCAAAAACAAAGTCAGTCTTTCATTTACAATTGTGCTGTGATTGGTTTAGAACTCTTGGGGGTCCCGGTTGAAGTCATTGCACTGTAAATTTTGCAAACAGCACAATCTGTTCCAAATGGCAGTTTCCTGATAATGGTTGAATTACGACAAGACCTCTGGCAAACAGTGCAAGTACATTACGTACAGGTCATTATTGATGCAATGCATTGCTTTATATGCCTAACTTTTTTCGTCAATGATAACATACATGTAAAAGTACCAGAGTTGAAAATGAATATCATTCATTTGTGTTTAGTAATCTATAGTAGGCATTCATTTGGTAAAAATTTAAAAAAAAACTTAAACAATTTTTGAGATTGAAAACAAAAGATGGCCCTAACTTTAGACTGAGAAAACAAATAATTTGTTTTCTTAAAAATTCAAATATTGATTTATTTTTAAGTCATAATTATAGTTATTTTTTCCAGAAAGTAGGTTATTTGCGAGTCTAAAATAAACATTTCTCACAGTGAACTTTTAAAATTAAATCCTCAAAAGTGTTACCTTATGAGCGTCTCCTCCCTCTATAATGTCGTCAATATACACATGTGGACCTTCTGGCCTGTTTGTTCCGCCAACAATGCACAAGCCAAGGCCAGTTGTATGTTGAATCTGAATGGTCTGCAATTCTCCTGGATGGTCAAATGTTGGAGAAGAACTTGTGGAATGTCTGTCAGTAGGTAGTCCAGAATCATTAGTGACCTCTGAGGAAACGCTTTGTTGCTCCACAGTCAAATGTCCATTGCCGTTATATTCTGGGGATCTCTCAGAAGAGTGAGCATCACCATTGAAGTGACGGGTATACGGTGTTCTGCTTGCTGGCATTGAGAGTTTCTGAAGGCTGGAGTTGTATGATGGAGGTTCATGTGCTCCTAGTAAGAACAAAATACACGGCTGAGTATTCTTTTAATTCTTTTTAACAGCTATTGAGGGGCCTTTCAACAAGGTTTCATTGCCATTAGAATATAAAAAGTCTTGTTCCTTAAAGGAATTCATCTCTAGTCAATATTTAACACTTTCCAGAGACCCCTACCAAAAACCGCCTTGCTGACATCAAGAGGTTACATTCACCTGGATACCTGTTTATATTACAAGCAGTTTGCTTTGTCCCAGAAAAGCCCAAATTCATATAAGTTCTTAATGTCTACCTCTACAGTAACAGACACATGCATTTGATAATATAGACACTCGTGAATACTTTGACTGTGTTTAATAGCTTAATATTTAATTAATAGCTTATTTAACTTTATATAAATCATTATATAATACAGTAAAGTTTGCTCTGTGTGATGCTTGAAATTGTCTTCAGGAGCCAGGGTAACTTGATGGTACAATACAGTTGTCTCACATGATTCACAAGAAGAAGTGGTTGAATGTATATATCAAGAAATAACTAGATGATCTCTATAATAATCAAGAATTAAGCCATCATTTGCCCACCAGGAGTATGTTGAACCACAGTAGGACCAACTGAAAGTGTCGGCAGGTCCATGGAGTACATTCTCTGAAGGCTTGCTGAGGGTCTGTCAAGCGAGTTGGTGGGTGATAAGACAGGGCTGCCATGACGACCACCTGCCAGCGGAGACATCTGACCCGCATTCATCACCCATGAACGTTTTCCTGAGGAAAAACAATAGTGGGAAAATTAAATCAATGTAACTGAGCGGTACAAAAACATTTGTAAGAAATGTTGGTCAACCTTTAAACAGGGTTAAGAACAGTGTATGGTAGAACTTATCTCTGGACACTGAAAGCACCTATGTTGCAAAATTTTCAGGTATATTTTGCAGGTTGCAGGTTGCAGGTTGCAGGCTGAAATTTAATTATAACTGGAAAACTGCTGGCACTTAAAAAAAGTGTACAGGTGGTAGACTTACCGTGACTGTTACATGACGCTGTTTACAATCACTCGGAAAGGTGGCTTCCACCTAAGTGCCATACTAGCCGAAGTGATGGGAGGAGAGTATATTCCAATGATTTTAAGCCTGCAATGAATTATTGTTTTTGAAGAAACATCTGAAATATCATCTGAAATATCTGCTCAATTTGGTTTCTTCCCTCTGAGTACCAAACTGAAAGCACACTGAGCTTGTGCTAGTATATTCCCTCAGATAAAATCTTATATTATTTCATTTCTTTATTTATTTGCTTCATTTGTGATGGCAACCTTCTGTTGTTGAGGGAAGACCCGAGCCAAATCTGGAATCAATGGAACATCTGTGGAGCGGCCATCCAGATGGCTTTGAAGAGATTTCACTGGTCTCAACGTGTCAATCGATAAGTACTTATAGTGGATTGATCGTGTTTTCACTATGTGAAAGAGGCAAACTACTTTATGTAACAACCCCTGACAAGTATATAGGTTATTAATTATTTTTAGTGCCAGCAGTTCTCCAGTTATAATTAAATTTCAACCTGCAACCTGCAAAATATACCTGCCGCAAATTAAGACATTACCCTCATCAACATTGCTGTCATAAGATTATACAAAGGAGTACATTCCTCTCCAGCGATCTGAGAGATCCTGTTCTCATTCAACATTATGGTTTCAACATTTTAAATTTTTTACGTCCCGTCCAATTTCATAATCAATCAAGAACCGCCTAACAATTCTTTGTCTGGCTTGTGTACTCCTCGGGCTGACTCACCCATGGTTGGTGAAGGAGTTGAGGTCCGAGAGCTGCCAAAACTTCCACTTCTCATTAATCCCGTTGAAGGCAATCCATTGGTGAGACCAGATGCTGAAGATCCATCATTCAATGCTTCCATCAGTTTGGCAAACTCCTGTCTACAAGATGTTAAGTACATTGTACATTATGTAAATGATTGAACCACAATGCAAAACACCTGCCTGAGAAAATGACATCAGTTACCTGTTAATTGACAGCTTATTTATCGTTAAAGTGTTAATTAATTCTAAACTGACCAACAAAATATTTCATACCTGGCCTTAACATCTCTACTCACGAGCAGTTTGGCATTGTTAGACTGGGCAGCATTCCGTAGTACTGACATTGCTCTGACAAATGATTGCATCAAATTTAGGGATTAGACTGACTAAAATATTACATACTCAGAAAATCATGTAGTGGAGAGAATTTGTTAACTCAGGTTCAAACTATGAATTCTCCTCACTGACTTCTTCACATTTCTTTTCAAGTTAGTTCTGAAAAGTAAGTGGTAGATCAAGACAATGTTCCCAAGATGATAATTTTCGTTATTCTAACTCAAGATTTCTACTTAACAGTGTAGTCACTATAAGGAGAAATAAGCTTTTTATTACTTTTGAAAGTAATGGTTTTAACCAGACTTTGATAGAAGACAAAATATTGTTTGAAATTTCACTAAATGAATGTAACCAAAACTCATATGGGGACACCCTTGTGATAGTTTATGCGGTGTTTGTGTGTGGTCAGAACCCTACATGTACATAATTGTTTGAGTTGCTCTTTAAAGGAGCCATTGCAGTTAGAAAATACACATAACTAGGACCTTACTTGTCATTTGAAAATCCAAGCAGGCTGCATCCATTCACTTCCAAAAGTTGGTCTCCTTCTCTTAATCTTCCTGATAAACAACAAATCAATACAGAAATGACGGCAACAAAATGAGGCCAGGGCTGTCATTAAGGGCTGTAACCAGTGACAACAGCATTAGAATCTTAAATACATTGTATATTATCTAAAGATAGTTAATTAAAAGTAACTGTCAAATGATTCAACAATCTGGGAGACGTGGTGATCCAATGGTTACTGATTATTGAATTTGAGGCTTAACCCTGGCCTTGTGTCATGCTCAGCTTAGGCAAGACACTGAGAGTCTGATTAAGTAATTTCTGTGCTTACCATCAAGATCAGCTACACCTCCACTCAAAACTTTCTTCACAAAGATTCCAAAATCAGCACCAAGGGCAGATCTCCCTCCAGCTATTTTTATTCCTGATCACGAAAATAGAACATCTCACATAAGTATTGTTCAACATGTAAATCTTAACATGTACCAAAATAACTGCATCAAGCTACACTGTACAGCTTCAATTTCATTACATTTTATTGATCCATCAAATATATGATTGAATGTTCATACAGTTAGTCATTTTTTGTAACAAATCTCTTTCTACATACTGTAGAGTGACATGTGGTATTCTTCAAACTAGCAGGCATAGCTGAGGAAGGGGAGGAGAGATGGGGGAAGAGGGGTGGGGGCTGCTGAGTACCCAGTGAAAAGAGATGGAGAATTATTGTGTTGTACAGTCCAGATTATCCTGATGTATCAGGACGGTCATGACCTCATGAAGCTATTTTTGTATGACCCATAAGATAAAATTACATGTAATGTCACCCTACCACCATCCCTCTTCTGATTTTGATTTTTTCAAAACACACTAAAATACATGTATCTCAAATTAAACACCACAAACAAAGATGAACCTTGACATTTAACTTACGAACTTCCCCCTCCCATATGTCCCTCCTCTCTTTAAGCTTGAGCATCACCAAAGAGATGTATATATACATGTACCTCTACACATTGGGAAAGACAGACAGAATCCCCAAACAATACTCAATATCCAATATTACCTACCTTTTCTCCAACTATAACAAGAAATTTAGAATTTCTATGTCAAAACAGTAGATTCTCATACTTAAAAACAATTTTTATCTGATTTTTTCAACACTTTCTCTGACTTTTTTTTTTACAGTACCAATGAAGTGAATAGATCACTCTGTCAAAATAAAGTTACCAGCAGTTCTTAGTTCTATCCCAAGGTCAATAAATATTACATACCTGTTTACATTAAAAAAATGCTTACCTAATCCACTGTGACAGTTTTTAATATTAATCACTTCTGTTTCATGCCTGTCGCCGACATCAATGTGGGATCTGGAAAGACTGTAGAAAATAAAAAAGTCAGAATTTGTAAAGTTGTTCTGTCTAGTCCTAAATACAGGTATATTAAATTATAGTTTATTATTTTTAGTGTCTGATATGTATAAAAAGCTCAAAACATATTTTGCTGTACAATAGTTTTCAGTCACTAGATTTTCCCTTTAGTTTGAGCCCAATACATATATGTAAGAAAAATCATCTCGCACTGTAGACTATCAGATGATGCTTTAGTGAAGCTCTGATGCCCTGCTAGTCCAAGGATAATGCACAAAAAGGAACTAGTTTTCACTGTAAGTTATTTTTTCTAACCATGTGTAACCAAAACTGATTTTCATGACAAAACAAAAATGGGTTTAAGCCACCCTTAAATCAATAAGAAAACAACTTTAAACCCCGCTGTGGCCAAAAACAGGTGGTGTTTAATTACATGTATGTTCCCTTCAAAGATTCAAACAATACATGTACATGGAATCCAGCTACTTTTATAGTTACACTTATTGTAACTTTCAAAGGTTTTTTTTTTTTGATCCAGAGTGATAGGAATCAAACTACGAGTGAGTCAGCTTGTAGCTTGATACTACTCGTTGGACAGCCAGTGTGGATCAGAATATTTATTATTAGGAATATCATAGCTCAGATTATATGTCACATAGATGATTTTCTTTGCCAGTCTCATCTGGATAACAATTAAATGGATCTTTATATACTTATATACTGGTATTAAATGTAACATGTCATACAGTGTACTAATCTGACTTGTTCCTACCAAAGTTTCCTTGACTTAGTCTGTAAATCTACAAGCTTACATTCACCACATTGGAGGGGTTTTTTAACATTAAAATGCAAACATTAACAGGTTTTAAGATATGGAGCACTGGGTTGCCTGTGAAAAGCCTCTAAATGAATTTTGATCTCGTGTTATTTTCTTCTCCTTTTGTTGAATAATGATAGGGCGATTTGGAAGGAGAATCTATCACTTGAACAGGCAACACTGTTGTTTTATTCTGGTACCCGATTGTTTACACTTAAGGGATGTCTAAGTAACGTCATTCACTAACCTTCGAGGAGATGTATCCCCTGTCAACATTGAAAGACTTCCCATGCTCAAGTTGTTCTACATCACATCCTATTCTGCAACGGAAACAGTTGATACAGCCAGCTATAGACTAAGATGGAACTCACTAGTCTCTTAAATTACAATATTATTTTGCTGATTAACTGAATATTTGGCTATCACAAGTGCTACACCTGATCAAGTAGCAACATATTCTTGATTGGCTAAACCATTATGCTGGAAACTCAGATGTGATGATAAGGTCTATTTTTAGGACACTCTAAAAAATATTTATGCACAAAATATTTACAAATTTGTCATAAAAAGTTACGACATGCAACATAAAGAAATTTAATTTGGCTTCTACGCGACAAAAGGAAGGCTAAAATGTTGGCCACATCAAAACAAATGTAACTGTAAAGTTCAATTATTAACACTTCTAACAGGGCTGCAAAAAATTACAAACTATACCAAACTTAATCACATGTACAACCAGACAAATTGAGCATCAACAAGTACATGTACAAGAATTGAACTGACAGAAAAAAAATTTCATATGGATTTCAGATAACAAAACCAACTGCATCCATAACATAAATAAAGAATGGTTTACAAATCATCTTAATTTCCAAGAAATGCTGAAAACGTTAGTCTAATAGTTCTTAACTACTACAAGGAGATCACAAATCTATCATAATCTTAGGACAAAATTCCCAACACTCGACAAAACGAGCAACTTCATGGAAGTCGCCATTTTAGTTGAACGAGAACTTATCCAATAATACTAAAATCAGTACTTCGCGCGCGCCACTAACTACTCGCGCGAAAAAAAAATGTGTGATGGGTTTTTCCATCAAATAAATCGTTGATATTATACATATAAACACTCACGATTACTCATGAAAATTTACATCGGCGGAGAGATGAACGACCGACGCGATGAGAACGGATGTCACGGCAGATCTAAAGTAAACAGACTTACTGCAATTAAATTTCCAATCATACGCTTTCGCCTAAGAATGCCATACCTAAAAAAAATTCGAAGGCTCTAGAAATCTACAGACATCATGGACATAAGGGATCGATTTCTGTTTTGTTGTGACACAGTTTCGTTTCATGACGGTACGGTCAATTATCTAGCATTCATCAATTTCAGGATTTTCAGCTGTTTTCAAATCGCAACACAAAATCATGCATGCAGGCAGGCAGTGCAGAATACACACACTTCTACCTTCTAATTGACAACCTGTAAAACGAAGGGAGGGCTTGCAGATTTCAAAATAAGCATCGAAGTCCAACTAAAATGTTGCTTTCAGGAAAACTTCCACGAGGAAAGCGTCCACCGATGTCAAGTTCTAACCGATTCGGCATAAACGGATGGTCGGAGACAAAAGATCTGCAAGACACCAAAAATAAAACTGTCTCCGAGTGCTCACAAAATGCCGCATTTAATATTTCGCCGTAAGAAAACAAATTTCCTTATGTAAAGATTCGCGACAGAGGTCGAGTGAAGACCACGAAGCTGTCATTTGCATGGAGCCAGTAACATTCGTGGTTAAACAACTTGTCGATGAAAACAGACGCCGATTCATGAAAACGATTTATGATTACACACAGTACAAGTCATGGGACATACTACCTGTTTGGCGAAGTAAAGCTATCATTGGACTCAACGGCAAAACATTAGGTTTTGATTTGCACAGCAATTTGTTGAAATAATATTATCGAGCGATCTTACCTCTATCCTCTATCTTCAATTCCAACTGACCGGCTTGGCGATACTGTGTTCTGTTTGTGATATTTCGTATCATATATTTCCCCAAGAACTGTGTTTTTTCGTAAGCGGTGTGGATGATCGTAGCACAATATCACTGGAGTACGTTGTCCTTTGCCAATCTCTGATATCTTGTGACAAATCAATGCAGTGTTAGGCTCCACTGCATTCCAGTCATCAAACGTGTTTTACGCGCTTCGGTTGTTCTTTAGCAACGGGGGTTGCATCTATACCCCTGGGATTAGTAGTACACTCTAACGTGACTGTAAGTTCCTATGGAGTCCCACCACTGTTAGAACTATGATAACCTTTTCGTTTTTTCAAATAGAAGCACTCAACGATCACACGAGCTTCGCAGTCATCGTTTTCACCTCTTGTCTGCACTCTTAACCATCGGCCTGTGTGCTTTCAAATGATCTCAAAGTGCCCGCCGTGAAGCAAGTTACAGGCCCAACAATAATTATTTCATTTCTTGAACGATTTTCCTACCTGGTTCGTGACTTGGCTCTCTCCGTTCGCCGATCAGTTCCCCTTCTATATCCTTGCTGAAATTCAAAATTAATTGTCATCAACTTATTCAAGTGCGGATTACAAATTTGCCCCGAAACTTTCCACCTGCAGCTTGGTATCACATCAGTTGTATCAAGATCATCCTCCCTTGGTTGAATCTCGTTGCGATTTCAATTTCTTGAGGTATTAGTCTTCCCTTTGCCAATAAAATCCACAAAAAATAAAGGTAGTTCGTCTCGTAAAATGTTGCCAGAAAGCGGAAAGATCCCGAATTTTAAATTCCTGGGGTACAGACCCCAGCCCTCCCTCCCCCGACCCGTTTCCCCGTGAGTAACGAAATAACAGATGCAGGTTATTGACCAAGCGCGAGGTCAAGTTGACCGGATATTGGCCAAGTTCTTTTTGTGTGCCGGGTTTATGAACCGAAACGGAGTTGCGATCCATAAAAACGCAAAAAAAAAGAACGAGGCCAATGTAAAGCCATCTTAACCTTACAAGCTTGGTCAATACAGGATTTATCACGTGGAAAAAGAACACTATTTTCTTGCGGGACACAGCGGGTAGTCCCGCGCGGGGAAAATTACAGCCATCTTGCCGACCCGGGGAGCTTACTACACCTTGGTTCATCTTGCCCACTCAGTGAGCTAGCCATACAATGATGGAAATTAATTCGACTATTCTAGCCGAAGAAAGCTTTTGGTTTGGGGTATTCCGGTAATAAACTCTGACAAAAGCACCAACAAAATCACAACTACCATGTGGCACTAAATTTTTGCGGGTTCTAATTTTTGCAATTTTTGCGTTTTTTTCCACGATCCGCAAAAAAAGTTCCCGCAAAAACATATTGTTGCAAAAAAATTTCGTCGCAAAAATAAACATCACAAGTAGAATCTTGTTGCTACCATCAGCCACATAAAAGCACGAGGAAACTGTGGTAGAGTGACACTGGTTACTGGATTACTGCGTTTTACATCTCTACATGTTGTTTCACTTTTCAGTTGCGAGCAGATTAATTTACGAACGCGAAAATGTGTTAATTATTTCAATTAAACGCGACTTCCCGGAAATAGCAAAAATGAATACCCAGCAAGAAAAACCAGTCTTTTACAATCACAAAAATGAGTTCCGCAAAATACAAAGTAACGTCCATTCGCAAAAACAAACTCCCGCAAAAATCAAGTATATATTTTTCGCAACACGCGCAGTTTCGAAAATTGGGGAATGTTCTCGGATATTCCCCAGTTTCAGCTGGGAAATATTCGGTCACGTGACGTATTTACACCAATCGCGCGCGAGCAAAAGATTTGATGGATTACAAGAAATCATAGAGGATCGAAAATTGTGCAAGAAAGAAACGACTGCACGGAGGACAAACCACTATGCAAGTGTAAAGGTGTACAGTATTTAATGTAACATTTCTACCAATAAATTATTACATTTTCATCGAAGTATTGTAGGTTTGGAAAGGTTTATAAACCATTGAATATGTTTGTTTTGTTGTATCTTAACATCAAAGGAACATTGCGTAACTAAACAAGCCATTCCATTCTCTTAACATTGTACAACATGATGAAAAATGTCCTTCTCTTGCAGATACAAGTTGAATTGTAATTTAAGATCTCGACGATTAAAACATCGTCCAATTCCAATATAAATCGTCCATAAATTCATCTGTATCCTGATGGAGTAAACCTTCCTATAAAGTCCATAGTGAAGGAAATCGACCTCCAGGACACAACATTTGTCCCCTCTCTCTTCAGCTCCCCTCTCACGTATTTTGACTCCCTTTCTGGGCGTGAATGAATTTATAACTTCAACTTAGACAAAACTGTGAACATAACTAATCTAAATATACGTATCGAGCGAAATGCCCAAACTTATCTACAAGGCTAATAATGTACGAACAAAACACGGTTGTCTAATAAACTTGTACATGGCTCGAAAAACAACTCCAACTTGAGAAATCAACAGAAATTGAGAAAAATACTTGAACCTACGTCTAGACATTCATTACTGAAATCGGAAATAAAATTAAAATAGGGGGTCTTAATCCGCGAGAAGTCCTTACGGAACTACAGGAGGGCTTTGGTATAAGAACATAACATTGAACGGGTGGGCGGGGCGGCAGGAGATCCCCTCAATCTTAGTTGTTCGTCCCGGACTATTTCGTCTTATTCAGCAGATATTCACTACGATCTTATTAGCTGACACGGTAGTTTCAAGCCAGCAGAGGTTGTCGTTCATTTTCCGTTTCTATTTGGTCATACGAGGAAGGAATTTGTTGCTGGGGTTCTTTAAGTCGATCAAAAGAGAGAAACATCAATGTCTGTAGAAAAAAAACAACAACAACAAGATATTGCTAAATTTGTCATAATAAACAAACCCAAACTAACAGACTGACATGAAATCACCGGTGAATTGGCGAACACGAAAATCGGCGGGCGGAATGTGCCGTGCGCGTTATTGCAGGTGAGATCTTCCATTCGACAATAGGCTCACTCCACTCGCAGATTTGTTTTCAACCTACAGTCGAACCTCCCATAAGCCCTTGCGGGAGGAGGTCGCTTACGGGAGCTTAGACCATAGTGGATCGAAACTTTGCCTCATTAGCATATTGTGACAGCAGAGACTTACTCCATGTTTTAAACATTTTGTTCATGTAAAAAGTCAATTTCGAGAAAAAAATCCGGCTTCCTATTGAAATACTTCCGTCTCGTGTACTACCCAGGAATACGATAATGTCAATGGACACCTTATTATCCAATTTCCGCTCTATTATCTGCGAAGTGGTCGCTTATGGGAGGTTAAAAACAAAAGAAAATTTCAAACTTTTAGCTGTAAATGTGGTCGCGTTCGCTTAAAAGAGATTCCACATATACTGATTTGATTTAGGCCCGGTTCATACGTCGCATTTCTGCCGTGTCGAATTCAATTCAATTAAGTGCGGCAGAAATGCGACTGCTGATTCAGACGTCGAATTTCTGCCGAACTTAATTCGTTGAATTGAATTCGACACGGCAGAAATGCGACGTATGAACCGGGCCTTAGAAACTCTTGGTATTTTGGAAAAATGGTCGCTGAGGAGAGGTGGTTGCTTGCGAGAGGTGGTCGCAACCGGAGGTTCGACTGTATACCCTACTAGACAGCCTTTACAGGCTACATTGTAACTGATATTAAAACAAAACAAAAAATACAGTTAACGGGAGAAAAATCAAGATAGTTTATAGCTCTCCACCTGTGACCCATATCATGACATAAGTTGCACGAAACAAGAGGTCAAACTTTCCAGCCGTTACTTTGTAAACCGCTTTGCAACGTCACGGAACACTTCTTTAGGAGAACGGTAGCGTGACGACCTATATAAGACTTTGATGGAGAGAATACCCAAAGACAACGCTAACAAATCTTTTCCACTTACTGCTAAGATGACTTCAAGAGCTGCCATAACTCCTAACATAAGATAGAGCCTCCGTGTGAGGGCCCCACCCCACAAGGGCCCTAGGATCATAGCCACTCCTGTTATAGACCTCTGAACACCTTGAGCAATTCCTGAAAAGAGGACCACAACTTGAGGTTCGGAAATAAACCACATTATGATCCTTCACACATTGTTACATCAATGTTTCTGTGTAGGAGCTTTGTCCAAGACCAGTCATGACCACTGTTCCTAAAGGACTTTTTGTCCGTTTCTGCCATGTTGCAGCTCCCTTAATGCAAATTTAGACAGTGCAACTTTGCCGTATGTAACAAGCTTACGACACGCGTAACTATGGCACGAATTATTTGTGTAAATCAAACCTACAATTTGCTTACGGCAATTTGATTAACGACACGGAACATTTTTAAATTTTGAAAAATGTTTTAGGACTAATTCAAAGCACGATGACAATGGTCATGTGTGAACATTCAAATTTGATGATGTCACCGTTACTTCTATTTATGACTGTTCTTACTTATAAGCTAGATTAGCTCAGATCCAACGAGTAGGAAAATTGCAGTAAAACACGATGAAGAAAAATGCTTCTCTTTAATAAAAACAGATCTGTTGGTGAGCAAATTTGTCATCATTACACAACATCTTTCATCAATAAGACTACTTGCAGCTGTTCATCTATCTTAGGGTTTGAAGAGAGTTTATTCCTGCAAAAATCCACTCACCTTGGGTTTTTTCATCAGTGATTTTAGAGTAGAGTGAAATATTTGCCACTGAGAAAAACGGCAAGCCAAACACGATAACTATTGTGCCAACAATGATGGTAGGAAGAACAACCGAGTCATCTGAAAAGACAGAAAGAAAACTTCACTTCAGGCAGGTATCCAAAGTCATGTTTTAATAGTGATCTCAAAAATTGTCTTTAGTTCTTTTCAACTGGAAAATGTCAAAGAAAGAAAAAACAAAAGAAAAAAGGATGGATAACGGCGGGAGGAATGAGGTACTCCTATTTAAAAAGGATGGGTTAAAAAGGCAGCTTTAGTAACTCTTAGCGTATTCAGCCGAAAAAATATGACAGGAGATAATGTGTTGTTTAAGAATTGGTACCCCTCAGGGTGAAAAATATTCAAGCAACGCCCACAAAACAGGATATTGGTACATGTACCCTTAGGGGTTCCTTTCAAAACTTCCCTCCTCCTTTTAATAAGGGAGTTCCCCCAGGCTTTAGCCTGTTCCAGGTGTTCTGCTATTGAAGCAGACTAATGAACTGCAAACAAGGAGAGTAGATTTTTTCAAGATGTACTGTCAGAAACATGACATTATATTATCATATGGATCGCACAACAATATTATCAAACCTAATATATTTTGAAGCAAGGAAACTTCATGATTTTAGACACTTATTATCATCTATGAAGTATAGAAACGCTGAAAAATTAAACATCACATGCTTTGAGAGAAAATATGCAAACTTACATGGCTTTGCATTGGCTAAGAGAAAAAGATACCAGATTAAGGCAAAACCCTCAAATGCAATACCAATTACCATTAGCCATCTAGAAAGAAAAGCAAAAGACATTGATGAGTTAAACTAACAAACTTTGAGTTTATAGAAACCATAAGATAGATACCAATATAATTTATTCTGAAAAACTAATTAAAAATGACCTATTCCACATTTACAGACCATTGACAAATCAAGCAAAACAAGCTTGGCATTTACCTGTCTGCCATCCTTTGGCTCAGCACTTTGACAAGAATAAATACCAGAATGGCCTGATAAGAAAAACACAATTAAACATTTCACATAATATTATTATTAATTTTTATAAACAACAACCTGGAGAAAATGATAATTTTCCACTAATTTTGACAGAATTATCAAAGAGAATTAAGTGATTTGTTATGTCCATCCAAGAAGGAAAAATGTTCACAAAAATTATGTTTTTATTACCTCTAATGCTATTAGACAGTAGGCAATACTGTTTTCAATTTCATGCCAGCCCAGAAGATATTCTGACATAGGGGTAACTATTGCCTGCAATATAAATCATGACAAAAATAGATTTTACAGTCAAACTGAGGAATGTTACAGTGTTGGGGCACAATGTGCCATATTAAGCAGGGCTGCATGTCATTGAGATGGCCAAACCACTGGAATGATACAATTGATACAATTAGCCTGACTCTGCTGTTGTGATAAAAGTAACTAATACTTGTTAGTTATAGTAATTGGACCGAGTGAAGTTCAATTCAGGAGGCAATCGCACAAGTAATTTAAAAATCGGACAAGAGCAAAGCACGAAGCATATTTAAAATTATGAGCCCAATTATTCCCTGAATTGTACGACATGAGGTCGAATTACCAATTAATCGCATCCATAACAAATTTCGGAATTGAAAAATGTCTGTTGAGAACTTCTTTTGAGGGAAAATGTCTATAATAGTGCTTTTCGATAAGTTTTGAAAACTGTAGGAAACATTGCGAAGGAACATATAGATTTTATATTATAGATTTTCCTTGACTCTTCAAAATGAGAAATATTCGTTTGATTACTTCATGAAAGCACTGATGCTAAAATGAATCATGTTCTTTTCAGAGCTATGTAGTTTATCATAAAAGTAAGAGAGAGAATCTGTAATGTCTACAACATAATGTCTGCAACACTTTAACCTCTTAATTTCTGGGCAGAGAAAACCTGCTAGGCTTACTTCCATTCACTAAAATAATGTTGATATTGAACTAAAGTAACAATAAATATCACTTACAAGTGGTGTAAAGTTTTTTTTCACAAAAAATAAAAAAGGCTTTGAGATCCTTTGAGATCTCTATTTTGGCTTGACATATCACAAATTTGTTTGATATTAATTACACAAATAATGCATGTCTGGAAGGGCAATTAAGGCAAAACAAACCACACACCCATAAGAGTTGCGATTTTTAGTTCAGGTTTCAAAGCAGACATGGCCTGCAAACAGCACCTTGACAACTAAAAGCCAAAGTCATTTCAGAACTTGATCGTGATGTTTGATAAAAATTAGTAAGTTAGGGCAATTTCAAAAATTTGTTTGGATAATTTCAGATGACCAACTGTTATTTCCAGCCTGGTACAGAAATTTCTTTCAGTTTCCTACAGCAATTTTCTTAATAGCATAGCATTATCTGCCACCAAATCAGTGTGGTCGAGATGCTCTAAAAGTTGACGGTGTAGATCCAGAAAATATCTATACCTCTCCCATGGAAGCGATTTCCTCTAAGACCCCCNACACACACACACACACACACACACACACATACACACTCACACACCAACCCCTCTGGAAATTTCAATTATGCTTCATACATTTCTTTAAATTTTTTGGTCTTACAGAAACCTCCACCGCCAGGATGTTCCAATCCCTTCTGTGGGGGAAGTATGGATATTTTCTGGAACTGCATAATTACCAACAGTGCAGCTAGTCTACCTGCTAGTTAAGTTTCAATAAGGGAAACTGGAATTGAAAATGCTTACTTTTCAGACTGTGTCTCATGTTGAATTGCCTGAATGAACACTTCATCCTTAATCACTAACTTTAACATTTTTAGTGTAATTCCAATTAACAAGCATTTCTGTTACTGGTAAGTCACCTCCCTCTAATTGATGTTGTCAGGGTTCTCCTCATTAATCTAGAGAGTAGAGGGCTATTTTCATGAAGTAGACAGCTGACACTGATTTGAGTAGTGAAGGGACAAGCTTCTAGGGAGGTCTGGGGGCATGCTCCCCCAGAAAATTTTGTAACTGGCTCTGAAATACATTCTCTTGGAGACATTTCCTTGAAAAAAAAAAATCGATTTTGGACAAGGTCAAAATGCCATGAATCAAAAATAAAGTAGGCAGTTTTTTAGCTGGCAGCCGGCACTTAACAAGAACCCTGATTGTGACTGATGCTTAGAAGAAATCCCTTGTTGTTTGCTAACAAACCTCTAATGCTGTTTGATTGAAGAACATCAAGAACTGTGAAGCCAAGATAACAATCACTTCCTCTCTGACAAGATCTATGAAATAGACATCAGTTACAATAAACTGTTACTAAGTTTACTCTAAATAACAACAAAGCACTTAAGAGTTCAGTGGCATGTTTCACGCCTACCTCTAGCCAAGTGCCATTTGTCCATTACAGAAGCTTTCTTCGGTCGTCTGTGAAGACCTACTGCATTAACATTTACTAGTTTCTGTTTTTCGCCATCAATAACTGCATCGCTACTGGTCAAATCATCAGTAATTGTGTCACTGGGAATGGTATAGTCGTAGCCTCTCTCCACCCTGGTAGCATTGACACTTCCAGATGTAATACTGCTGTTCACACTGTGATTGTACCCATTTGGATGTTCACTTTCCTCATCATTAGAAATGGGCTTCACCATGGGAAAATCAAAATAACAGAACAGCATGATGAACTCCAGTATCAGCCATACTGCAGCCATAAAAATCTAATGACAGAAAAAACAAATACAGTATACTTAAATGCATGACAACAAACTATGAATGGTGTAGTACATCCCATAGTGGGACGCAAATACTGTCCAAGGCCATAATGTCCTATTGTGTAGTTCCAAAAAATATCCTTACTTGACTGTTCTAAGATTCAGCTTGCCAGACTGGCTATTGAGAGCAGAAACACCCAAAATAGGCCACCAATGTTCTAAAGCAGGGCCCAGTTGTTTGAAGGGTGGATAATGCTAATCCACCACATAAATCACTATCCCGTGGTTAAGTGTTAACAAAACAAACCACACTATCCATTGGATATAGTGATTCATCCGGTACATAGCCCTACCCAATCTTTGAACAACTGAGACCTGTTGGGGATTTCAGTACTATTAAATGCTTTTCACCATAATTTATCATGGATAGCAAACTGCACACATTCTTAATCTTTTTTAAAATGCTTAAAACTTGAACTTACTCCAGGTGACCTATAAGAATCAACCTCAAACGGTCCTAATTTGAAATTAAATTTCCTCAAAAAAAGGTTAAAGCCAGGCCCTGAAAAAAACAAACAAATGCAAAACAAACAATATTTCAGTTTCTTCACAATTCAAATAATTATGTTCTGTCATACATGTATAAGCTTTTAAATTCACTTGGATATTATGTTATCATGTGCCTTGAATTTGATTTGACAACACAACCCATTATTCCAGACAAAAGTAGTTGTTGGATGATGTATCCCCCATCTCCCTAGATCAATATTGGAAAATGTTGCATTTTTTGGCGACTGAATGGGAAAAGATACCTGATTATCAACATAGTAACTGAGGGGAAGGGGATAAGTTACTTGGTGTCCCAACATTTTTGTCTGGGATTGTGGGTTTAACATAAATTTTCAACACAGCAGTGGCTCGACATAACCAAATAACTTCATGCCATTTAAATATCTCACCAGATGGACATACCTACTAACAAACCAAACTGGCGCAAACCCATGGCAATGGAGAACATTCCAGTCCTTTCTTTTTCAGTTGTTGTTCTTGCAATCTGTGCAAATATTCCAGCTCCTATTCCAGCACCTATGCCTAAAAGAGGCAACACTGTGTAACTATACATTAAAATTATTTTTGTTAAAGAAACAATGCAACAGGTAGGTATTTTGAGAAAGTTAGCGTAATTTTGTCAAGTTAGCTATACATGGTCTACCTCAATCAATCATACATCTAGTGACCCTGTCACACTCAGTTAGTGCTGTTGAATATGAAGGCTCCTATGCAGACATTTTTATGGCTGGTCATGCAATCCTCCCTAGGATTGATTATGCGACAAGTCTCAAGAGATCTGCTTGGAAGGCTAGTTGACTTGCTCAGGATAGCAAAATGTTGAATAAGTTATGTGAGAATTTGAGGTCTACCAAATCAATACACAAACAAGAATTGGCCAAACGGCATACGCAAAACTTAAAATTTCTACTATATTAACAACTAAGGTGGTCTCCTCTAACCTGGTAGTTTTTTGGAAGTCCCTTCATTGCCTTTTTGTTAATATTATTATCGTTTATTATTATTTATGGTGTGGCAAATAAATGATGATGAGGATTATGCTGCTGCTGCTGCTGATGATGATGATGACGATAAAGACTAAAACTAGGACAAAGTAAATAAGAAGAACAAGAGCCTGCATTATTCAACTCACCTGCAGTGAATCGTGCAATGAGTACCCAGTACTTGGACCAAGCAATAAAATACAAGAAATTACCTGAAAGGATAACATTACTGTATCAATGTTGTTTCCACACTGTGTGAGATGTCAAGGGGTATTCATGGATTACAACAAGCATAACAAATTAAGATAACTGATGCCTCGGAAGTAATGAAACATTTCCAACATTAATTGTATTAAGAAATTTTCAGACTCCAATATAACAGTTGCCCATTTTCAAGATATTTTTAAGCAGCCATTCTCAAACTTATTAGGATAATTTTATATCAAAATACTAAATTCCAGAAACCTAAATGCATATCTGTTGTTGAGATAAACTCTTTTTGGCAGGCACCAAGGATTTGAACTTGGGGCTAGAGTGAAACAAATCCAGGTAGTGGGCAGAGCAGAACTTAAACCTGGAACCGCTGCATTGCAAGTCAACGCGCTGATCACTCAGTCCCCTGCCTCCACTCAGGATTGAGTTATCCTAGACAAATGTAGCACCACTAGCCACATGTAAGAAAAAAAAAGCATGTAACAGGGAAATAAATAACAAGGAAATCCCTGGCATTACAGAAGGGAGCTTGGAAAAATAAGTTTATATTGTACATCAAATGTTGACTAACCTCCTATCTCAAACAGATTTGCAATTAGAATGACAGTTTTGGTTTTGCGTGTGTAGTCAACCCAGAAACCAAACAGTGGACTTGACAACAAATTAGCAAAAGAAAATGATGCAAACACCACTCCAAAAAACCACTGCTCGGCATCAAAACTGTGCTCCAAATACAACCACAGAGTTGGAAGGATAACAGCTACCACAATAAAAATGGTAAGACAGAGGTTAGTACACACAACATCAGAGATCAGTATTTTGTGCGCTATTTGAACTTGGGATGTTGAAGCTTACATTTTCAAGACTGGTGTTTACATGCAGGGAAAATTCCTAACAATTGTGTATTTTTCTACCTTAAGGTGGCTCTCTATAGTTGTACAATTGCACATGTGCTGAGGACAAAAGCTCAAGAAGATCTTTGGAAAGAACTTTCAATCCATTTCAAAGAACTTGGCATATTTGCTTTTTACAAAAAAATACAACTTTATTTACTGTCAGATCAATAACCCTTCTAGTTAGTTTTTGTTTCCCCAAAACCAAACTGTAAACTCCAAATTCTTCCTTCATCTCTCCTGTCCTACTGTTACATTGCAGCCATAACTAGACTGGAGGCTAACTCGAAAACCAAATGGTTCATTTAGCTTCCAGTCTTACTGAAACAAGATTATAACAGTTACTTAATCTAAAACATTATATGTATATTAAGTAAACTAAAAATGTTATAACATTTATATTTATATTGAGAAAATAAAGATGCTGTTGTTGTTGTAATGTAAGTTGTTGATGGTCTGAGATGGTCTGAGATGCTATGGTTTGTTACATTTTCAAACAAGCTCTTGAATAAACATAGTATCTTCCATAATGCAAGTCCAGAAAGCTTGAAAATATGTTTCGGCTTATGGGGGGTGGGGGTCACACTATGACACCTGCAAATTATACTCCAATGAACAAATATAACGATTATTCTCGGGAAAAAATGAACTCTTATCAGAAATAAACTCACTGATCAATCCTAAAATAACTTATCGTCAATAAAGATAAGTTACGTACGCCTGTCAGGATTCCTATAAAACGCCGGTAAGCGTATGAAAATATTGCCAAACTTCACGTGACATAAGCTTGCATAACCGCCAGAATGCGCGAAATTTTGCATTTATCTTCATTTAATCTCTTTAAAATCCATGCAACTGAAAACCAAACAAGCAAAAAGAAAACACTGCTAACAGGCAGTCATATTTTCTAAGCACAAACAAAAAAATGATTCAAATAAGTATCAATCACAGACCTGCAAAACAAACCTGATTCCCTGGGTGTTGGGAAAGTTTTCGAAGCATGCCAAATCAACTTTATCCGTTACTTACCATATTCAATTCCACCAAGCAAGAAAAACAATCCAATGCACATCCTGGTAGAACTCTTCTTGGTCTTTAAGTTCATTTTCCAAATTATTAGGCAAAACTTCACAAGCTTGGTAAGAATTTGCCCAACTGGTCACACGATCACAGCGCCCCCACGGAAAAAACATACGTACAGTGCATTTACATACGTACAGTGCATTTACATACGAGACATCTGATTGGTCAAAAGCACAATAGGCGCTTTATTTGGAATTCAAAATGGCGACGATTAGGGTGGAGGATTCTGGGGGAAAACACGTGGCTGTAGTCCTAAAACTTCAGCAAAACAAGGTCAAATTCGCTGACTTCTGGAGCTTATTTTCCACAAAATGTACCATAGTTCGGTCGAATAGCAATATTATTAACTAATTTAGCTGCTAAGAGGTCGATCAGTGGGATACCGAGTGCGAATTCAACAGGGCGTAGTAGCGACTATCGGTGTCCGGAAGCATCGCGTGCAATGGGGAGCAAATCCAAGCCGAAGGCCACAACATTCGGCCCCACAACTCAAATCTTGGACGTTAACTTGACGAATGCGACGTTCGGCTTTCTACCAGCGGTCGGATGGAAGGGAAAATCGCCTGCTAGCGTTTCTAGAAGGGTTGATTTACAGCCCGACTTGGACCTTCTGGGTGGCTTTGCCTTCTTGTCTTTCGAATCGCTCGATGAGCTCGAAACTCACATTGAACACAACGAAACGAACTGTGCAGCTATCAGCGTAACTATTGGGCAAAAGAGGAAAGCTGAGGGTTCTGGCAAACGTCTCGGAGATAACTGCGGGCTGTTTGTTCCGCCAAGCAAGAAGAAAGCGGCAAAGACCTCGAAGAAAAAGCCGCCGAAACAAATTTCCACCTTGACAACGGCGGCGGCGTCAAAACCGAAGCACAGTTCGCCTGCAGATGGTTTGATCAAGTCCAAGATCGATAAAGTGTCATCGGTAGGTACGATTTTAGATGACCGTGAGCTTTCTCAGTCTACTTCAATCGACATTTCTGCTAGCGGGAGTGAAATGAATGCGCAATCTTCGACGAATGTCTTCTCAGAAATTTCGCTCCTGTGTTCAGAAACTGTAGATTTAGGAGATGACGAAGACACAGCACAAGACATTTTCAAAAAACCTGAAAAAGCTGTGGTGGACAGGGGGGATGGTCAACTTGATTTGTCTGCTGCTCAATTTAACCAAAGTGAGGGTGCAGTAGAGGGGATTGGCACTTCCACTGATCCAATACCGAAGAAAAAAAAGAAGAAAAAACGGAAAAATGAACATTGTGATCAAACGAGCCAAACAAAATTTAGAATAAAGAAAAAGAAGAAATCTGAACCAAAAGCCCAAGTTTCAGAGAGCATGTCCAATGTGTTATTGGATCATTTGGAAAATGATGAATTTCCAAATCCTGAGGAATTTCCAGATCTTCATTTTCCAGGTGTTGAAAATTCACAGGGTAAAGATGATGGTGAGGAAGACAACAAGAATACTCAGGCAAAATCCTTATCATCTAAGCCTAAGATAGAAAATGCCACATGTGCTCGTACTGCAGTTTATCCAGGATTTTCCAGGGATGGTAGTTTCAAAACTAAACTTCTTACTTCAGAATCACCCAGTGGAGAACGTTTAATAGACTTGACAGGTAATACTTCTTCAGAGCTCAGTCAAGCAAAAATGGCAGAAAAGAATTCCCTGGACGGTTGTACTCCCCACAGTAGCGATCGAGATGACGAAACAACAAGTGTTAGTGTTCTGTCTGATTTAAGTGATCATTCCTCAGACATAGAGATGTCTACAGATCGCTGTGGTTGTTTTCTGTTGAACAATAAGATTGAAAAGGTTGAAAAGGAGGAAATGGAGAAGGGAGAAGAAATTGTGGATGTCGATGTTGAAACAGTTGGGAAAGAGATGAGAAAAAATTTTCTTGTGGTGAGCGGCATTGAGGCAGGTCATTTCAGTTATCACCCAGATATGACAAAGGATGGGACCATAGATACATCCATTCAAGCATTACCCAATGAGATTGATATTTTCTTGCAATGTGCCAAGATGCAGGAAGGGGAGATGATAAAGATCATAAATCCAGATGATTCTGATGAATTGCATTCTCATTTCATGCAGAAAAATGGTCGTAATCCAGATACCTCCAATAAGAAAGCAACAAGAAGTGCCACGGAAAGAAAACGTCGCCACCACTTGGGGGATTTATTCAGTGATATGAAGCTGGAAGTTTTTACTGACCTAGTGGATGCAGACTTGTATTTCAGCAAGCAGTCTATACTAAGCAAAGGAATCAGTACTATTGAAGAATTGGAAAAAGGGTCCAAGGAATTGAACAATAAAAAGACACAGTTGATGAAGACAAACAAAACACTGAAAGAGAAGAGGAATCTGTTGATGTTTGGTAAAGAATCAATTGACGTTGATTCTGCAAAAGTTGAAACCATATTTCAGCGCCTTAACATTCAAGTGGATGATGAAGAACTGCCAAAAACAGAAGAGAATTTAAACAGCAGTGAAGATGTAGTTGTGGATGTGCCAAGTGAATCAAAACTAGCAGTTGAACCTTCTGTTAAAGGTCGCCCTAGAGCAAAGAAAACATTGCTGTCTCCTTGGGTTTCCAACAACAAACCAGCATTGAAGAGCAGGGATGATCAGAACACAATTGGTGCTAATTTGGTCAAGAAAGCTAGTACACCAAGCCTATTAGGAACATCCAAAGAGATTTTAGGTACAACCACGTCATCATCCCAGACTTTGCCATCCTTGAACATATCCAATGTGTCCTGTGGAGTTCAGACTCAGGAAGCTAGCAGCATTTCCTTTAAATCATTTGTTTCAGGAAATCCTCCCCTTTCACAGAGTTTGCCACCAGGCAACGGCACAGCAAAAAGCAAACCACTTAATGAATCAGCAAGTCAAGAAGGTCCCAAAGCAAATTTGGTGAAGATTTTACCCAAGCCAACAACAATTCTTCAGTTGAATCCAACACAGCACAAAGCCATCATTGATACACTTGGACAGGTGAAGCAGCCATCAAGTGATAAGATTATTTGTAATCTCTCAAGATTAAGCACCACACAAAACCCCAGTAGTCCTTCCAGCATTTGCATCATCAGGAGTGGACAACTTATGAAGAACCTAGACAGCAAGAATGTTATGCATCTCAAGATTACAAACGACGCTCTGAAAAATGTGGACAATGGCAGTGGTAGTACTTCATCAACAGCACCAGCATCATCATCAAGCCAGCAAGTGTTAAATACACCAGCAACAGCAAGGGTGCCAGGTTTTGTTACATTGGGTGTTGCTAAAATGCCTGAAACACCTGGCACATCAAATGGACAGACTTCCAAAAAACATTCCGAAAACACTGTGCTGGTTTCGCAGATTCCTCCGAAATCAACAACTACTCCCATCTCATCCACCACCAAATTGATCTTTTCTGGAAAGCCACTTAGTACATTAGCTTCGACCAGCACCACAGGGATACCACAAAGCACAGGTCAGACAAATGCTGATATTACGCTGAGAGCACTTGCTTCACTGAGCCAGTTACAAGCCAATAGACCTCCTGTAGCAGGGACAGTAATAAAACCAGTAGGCCTTAATGAGAATCCTGTTGCTGGAATTCTTAGTGGTTTAAAAAATGTTGTGATGAAGGTAGTTCCTAGACAACCTGAGATGCAATCTACAACATCTGTTCTACCCACACTGCCCACAGCTACCATAACAACACTTATGGGAACTACAAGCAGCCATGTTGCTGCATCTTCACAAGGAAGTTGCCCAGTCCAGCCGAGGAAATTTTCTGTGATACCCATCATATCTGTTCCTTCCTCTTCTTCTCTAAACAGCATCTTTACAGCCTCTACTCTCAATCAGCCCTTATCTTCTTCTGGTGTCAGTTCTAAGGTTATTACAAGTACACCACTTATTAAAACCTGTTTGGACCCCTTCAATCTGGTGCCCAGAGAACTAGCAGCTTCAAATCCACCCATTTGTTTAGAACCTGATCTGCCTTCTGCGAGTGTGGATTTGGAAACTGACATCAGCAATCAACTGGATAATTTAACAAGTTCTGAGAGTCCTTCCCCAATTTCCAATGATATATTCAAAGAAGAACCATCAACTTCTTCGACAGTTTTGACTCAAGAGATGCTTAAAATACCAGGCATAGAGCAGCGTCCAGATGTTCCATTGGCAAAACTGCCAGAAGTTTTTGAAAACCTGGCTGACTTAGACAAGACAACTGATGTAACCCAATCACCGAAGCCTTGGTGTGGTGTTGAAGAAAGGGAGCCTGAAGGATCTGTTACTTGTAATTTGTCCAGTTTGTCACATGGTGCAGAATTACGAACTGATACACCTTCACTCTCTTTGAGAAGTTCTACTATTGGTGCTAAGAAATCTACTAGCCCATTTAAAGTGGAAATCAAAGACTTCAGAAAAGGTAAGCCTTTACGTGGAGCAATTTGCATCAACTTCTCACAACTTGAGTGTAATAATCAAGCACTGTAGTTCATGAGAAATGATTGTCTTGATGCTTATAAGGTAAATCTCTCAATTAGTATAATAAGATCTGTATGGAAACCAGTAGTGGGAATTTGAAAGTTGATACTGAAATAATATAAATTTAGTCTTAACTGAAAAGTAATGTTAAGCCCAGCAGCATATTAGGGAGCTTAAGCAAACCACAGGGACAACACTGAGCAAGAAGAATGCCCCCAAACAAAATGTTTAATGAGCAAAACAATGGCTGTACAGGTGCATTTAAATCTGTGAACATTTCTTAGCCATCCAGTGAAGAGATCTAGACAATTGCGACATTCAAGGGTAAAATATAAATGAACTTTTTACTAAGAGTTGTCCTTGGGGTCGTTGTTGTCATTGCTTAAGCGCCCATTTTAATCCTTAGGTCTCCAGTGGATAAGCCCAAATTTACCAACACCCTAATCCTTCTGGAATGAAACATTATTTCTTTGTCAAATAGCTCTATGTTGATTTGGCCAAATCAAAGTGGAAGAACTATGAGAGTTATTGTATTTACTCGATTAAACGCCACCCTCAAATAAACACATTTTAGAGCAGAAATATTAATTAACATCACCTTTGAATGATGCAGTGTTTATTCACATAATAAACTCAAAATGCAAATGCGGTAATAATCAAGTTTAAGCAATCCTAAAAAAATTATTTTCCTTGATTGTAACAATGTTTCAATATCAGTACATTCGAAGCTCAAAGGAATATAATCAAAACACAAGAACAATATACGGTAGTTCAGCTTAAACAAGCTTTGGAAGTTTGCTTTCATTGATAACAATGTTTTCAGTTCAAAGTGAGCTTTCTTCAATGCTCTTACCATACTATTGTTTGCAAGAAATAAATTGGATTTTAAATAAACGGCGCACTCAAGTCACAAAAAAGTTAATAAACGCTGCGGCGTTTAATATTATTGAGTAAATACTGTATCTCCGTCAAGTCTCAGAACCCATCAGAAAGTTGTGAAAAACATGTTGAAAAGTGATAAAAATTGATTAAGCTCTCTGTCAAGCTGACAACGATGCAATGCACAGCATTATAAATAATACCTTACATCTTGGAGGCCTTATCAGTGGGGTGGGAAGTTGGAGGTTCCCACATCCCGTTAATTTTCTACCTATTAAATATTGTTTCCCATAAAAACCCTAATAGGGCGTCCTCTTTTCAACAGTGATAATAAGACTCTCATCCAGTTCTGTTTGTAATTTAATGATTAACAAAATTAGACATGTACAAAGCTGGATGATTATTTATGTGGATATTGATTCAACTTCAATTAACGCCAAAATGAAAAATAATGCCTTGTCGTTTGTTTGATTTCATAAAGGTCTTTGATTTAATAAAAATATCAATAACAGTAAATATTTACATCTACTCTTTTTTCAGGCACAGCTGCACTTAAGAATGTCTATTCGCTAACAGAGGACAGCACTCTAACAGAACTAGATTGAAACAGACAAGGTGATTGCCGTCCTAGCTGTGGATCATATGTTTATTATTCTACATTTTCTGAACCTGACTGGTGTTCTCTTCCTATTATCAATGTTTACTGACAGATCTTGATTATCCCAAGGATTGCCCTAAACAAAATTCACTCAGGCTATCTTGTTGGCTTTTCCATTAGACTTTTACCAAACAAATTTAACTGTTAAAGACTGACTGCCTATCCTTGTTTTCTATGGGCATGATACTCACTTCGGCTAGACCCCATCAACTGCTGGCCTATAAAAAACTGGGCCTTTTAGTAATATTGGTGTTCATAATTTCTTCTAAATTATTTAGCATTTCTGACAGTGTTAGTTACCCCCAGAAGATTTAAACAAAGGTGTTTTACAAAAGAGATCAGTAACCGATTATTTCTTAAGATATTGCAGATAACAAAATTGTGAAAAGGTGACACTAGATTGCTCTAGGAAGAGTCAGATGGAACTCTTTTGAAGTTAAGCCAAAGCAGCAATATTAACATTAACATGAGTTAGGCACTTTGTTGTCACTTAAATCACTTTATATTTACATTTTCTCCCTTCTTGTGAATTTCCATGATTCATTCACACTGCACTTAGAACACAATCAATATCCTATGCTGAAGACTTCAATTGGGGCTATTATTTTACCTTGGGGAGGGGGACTCTCTTGTAAAAAGGTTGAGGATGCCTGTCAGAAAAAGGAGACCTCTCTGGGCGTGGCTCAGGCTTTATTTGACCCTTAAAAGATATCTCTTTAAGAAAGACATGAATGCATTTTTCATAATTTCTCCGTGTGAAACCCTCAAAGATACCTTCGTTGACAACTAAAAATAGTGGCATTTCATCCTGAATACCCGAGTGAGACCAAACTCCATGATTTCAACCCCTAAGCAAGATGACAAGGATCCCTGATTCTTTCACATGGGAGTACCCTCCCCCTGGTGAGGCCTTCCAAGGGGGGTGGCCATGTCACATCCTTTCGTGTACCAATGTTGCCCAACTAGCAGAGGCAAATGTCGCCATCGTTTTTCTGCATGAAGTCATATGTTGCTGTCAAACAGGTTAGCAGGTTATTTTCCTGTAAAAATAACCCTCTAAACTAATGCAGTGCATGGTTTAAACATTTAGAATTTTATTGTTTCCGAAATTTACAGACTTTACAAGAGGATACAATTTCTAAATAGGAAAAAATGTCCGAAAGGGTCGATGTCACTGTCTTTTCTAGTGCTTCTCTGTGTCACTGTTGAATGTTAGTGGCCCACTCGATTTAGTTGTTGCTAATTAGAAATTCCCATGTCGCTGGTTTTCAGGGTTGTGTCGCTTGTCACATTTACCCCTTGGAAAGCCTCCCTGGTGGGAATTTCCCCCTTCTGGTGTTTTCTATCTTTCATCACTAAAAAGAGTTCTGTAAAAGTTTAGTGGGTAACATGAGAATCACATCAGATAATTTGCAATATTTATTACTTGAGAGCTTCAAAGTGCACTAGATTAGATGTTGAAAATTTGCAGTGCAAAAGCTTTCTTGTTTTAATGAGTTTACTATTCTTGCTACTGAAAAACTGTCAGTGATGAATAAATCCATATCAGATCATGTGCAGCTATTGTGTACTCACAGGTTTAAGGGCAGGTTGTTAGGTCATGTACAATAATTTATTATGGTGCAATTGTTTAGCTAAGAAATTTAGTTCTTGAATATTATTTGTCAGTAGGTGTAAATAAGTAGTTTCTCATTAAACATCCATGTAAATTTCAGTGGAATTAGATAATAAACATTTGGACAATTAAACCTTTGTGTCGATATATAAGATAAAGGTAAAGGGTGTACAGTAAAAGTACACATTTTGCTGTGAAGTTTTGCTTGAAGAGTTCACATTGGAATCACAAATTGTGCGGCAGCTGTAGTTTTGAAATTTATGGGAAATGTATGGGAACAAAGAAGAGTTTCAAGTTTGATCTGCATGAAATGAACACACAAGTGGAACACCTTTTCATAAGAATGGTTTTGCATGAAGACTTCTCGCCTTGACATGGAGACAACATGTAACTTGGAAATAGACTATTGTTTCAGGCAAGGCATTAATGGACATTTTGTCTCACTTTCTGTTTTGTTGCCTCTTAACAAATCTGACCTATATAAATGCTCATTTTGTAAAAGTAAATAATTGGTGCAAAGGTCACAATTCAGGTTTTTGTAACTGAGCTTTAAACTTGACAAATAAAACAAGCTCCTTTGATTTCTTCATAAAGAGCTGACTTTAATTTCATGTTTTCTAATAAAATATAATCAAAATAAATTATCATTAATTAAATATTGTTCCATTATTGTCAACATGTCTGGATGCCCAGCTAAAAGCCTGCTTGAATGTACCTGAAAGTTTAAATGAAATTACTTACATAAACCTCCAACATCAAAGTGGAACTAATGTAAAAGGTGGGCCAATGTAAAAGGCCAACAAGCATTACCATGACTCATTGTTTTATATATATATATTTTAAAACACTTACGTACATGTATTTCATATTTTATTAATTATTAGATAAGTAATCATAGTTAGGTGTCCCCAATTATATACATTGTATGTTAGCGACTTCAACACATCAATAAAGTTCTTATCTTCTTTTCTTATCTTATGTCCCAAACGTTTTTACTTATTTCATATTAATTGTAAGTCCAGGGTATAAGTCCACATATTTTCTAGGGTACTTAATAATATTAGGGGTGGCAGATGGTCATTCAAAAACCATGGGTCTTGCAAAAATTTGTCAAATTTCACGGATCTTGCACTATTGTTTAAGCAGTCTTACAGTCTCAATTTTTTCACAAAGCTGTGTTGAGCTCGCAGTCTCTTAGCCTTTTTTGCAAGGCTAAGAAAGTCTTGAAGTACTGATGTGTTTGTTTTCTTTACTCAGTAATGCACTCTGTATGTCATTGGTTTGTAAATGATGTCTGAACATTTTAGAATCTGAATCTCTTGAGCTTGCAATTGATGAAGTCCAAATGTCTCAGGCTTGCAAAGAAAAATGCTAGTCTCACCTTCTCACAAAGTCTAGCATTTACCATTCACCACCCCTAGTATTATTCTTGCAAAATAACTTGGCTTTAAAGATCAAGCAACAAAAAAAGAAAAAAACAAAATCAATTTTAGAGATCTTCAAAATTTATGAAAAATTTCTGTCAGTGAGTATGACAAATGTGCTGTTTCTCTCTGTACCATCATTTCCAGTAATTATTTGTTTTCCTCTTTGTGAAGTAGTATCTCCCAAACCTCACTTGGAGGCACAGTTGCCTTTGTACAAGAATTTACTATCTCAGCTAGGAGGGTGGCAGAATCCTGCAAGAATAGAATAAAAATGGCATGAAAATATGCTAGGATATTTGTCTGCAGACATCATCTGTTCCAAGAAGCAAACAGTTTCCAAAAACAAAGCTTGAGGAAAACTATTCTCTTCTTGGAACAAATAATGTCCAAGGAAAAATATGCAAGAGCATATTTTTGCGCATATTGTGTTTATTATCCCTTAGATATTTTTCCCAACACATGTGATCTTGTCAAAATATTGGGGAATATCAAAACAATAGCCTCCTTTTGGCATGAGATTATGCTAAGATATTTGTCTGTAGACCTTATCTGCTCCGAGAAGCGAACAGTTTTGAGAGAGCATGGCTCAAGGAAAACTGTGAGCTTCGAGGAACAGATAATGTCCGAAGACAAATATCTGAGCAGATTCTCACGCCAAATGGAGGCTATCGTGTTTATTATCCTTTAAATATTTTTTGCAACACGTGCAGTTTTGAAAATTGCTTAATTTTAGCTGGGGAATATTTTGTCACATGACATGTTTAGACTAATCGTGCGCGAGCGAAAATACTAAGACACTAAGACATTACCCAGATTTAGCTAGGGCATATTCTGTCGTGTGACATGTTTAGACCAATCGCGTGTGAGTGAAAATATTTGATGGATTATAATCCTAGAAAAGCAGAATGTGCACCAGTGAAGCCAGAAGAAGGGAACTTGAATATTGCTATCCTGGATGCTTATTCAACACCCGTTACCCTGCCCACTGCTCCCCCTCCCCACACAGACACATAGGTAGGTAGGTAGGTAGGTAAGACTTTATTTTACGAGGGTAAAACATACCCCACCACCAGCACCTCACAAAATAACATAAAAACTTGCCTTTTGATACATGTGTTTTTGTAGCCTCTCCTCAAATTCACCTCTCTTCACTATGTCTAATTTTCTCTTTAAGAATGAGTGGTTGGCAATATCAGATTTCATTTTCCTGGAAAGGAATAGCAGAAAACTAAGTACTTATTCCAAAAGGCATAAAAAACTAGACATTTATACAGAGATTTCAAAATTTGAAACACACAGCAACCTCTGGGGAGGGAACTCCTTCATAGCATTGATAGAAATTATTATAAAATCTAGGTTTAAAAATTGTGTTTCCACTAATACTTATTGGTCTTATTGGTAATGCAAAGGATGTCCTACTTTAAAATTTCATAGTAGCTCCATATTAATTCATATTATTTTGTACCTCTTAGTGTAACAGGTACTAGTTACTGATATTATTTTATTGCATCCTGGACATTGTAGTCTGGCTGTTTTCAAAATTTCTGACAAGCATCCCTGACACACAGTCACAATACCCATCCACCATTGGGTCACCGAATATAAAACTCAAATCTGAATGTTGTGAGATTTGTGTTCACTTAAACATTTTTACAGTGTAAGTAATTTCATATACACATGCACAAGACTGAGTCATAGTCACACAGATTCCTTTTGATGTTTACCCATTGAACAGTCAAAACAAGAACACAGGAAGTGAATATTGGTGATTACCTACAGTCATTACAATGTCTTGGGTTGTGAAATTCCTGTTCTTTTAACTGTTATATGAGCAGAGAAGTGGAAGTTTGATTAGTATGTAACACATACTATTGAAACTGTCATCAGTAGTTATGATATCAAGAATACACTACTGTGATGATTTTTCTTGATTTGATACAAAACAATGCAATAATGGTTTATTCAGGAAACAAATAAATAGATGTGATAAGATGAAAAAAAATTATCATAACAAAGCAGAAACAAGTAGTTGGTAACAATACTAAATAAACAGGAACTCTTAAACAAAGCTAGTGAGGTAATAGCCTGATATGACAACTGCCTGATTCTTCAGTAATGTTTCAAAAATTCTGATTATGTCATACAGTGAAACCTGTATTAGGCGGACACCCTTAGGACCCTCATTAGCGTCTGCTTAATACAGGGTGTCCACTAGAAACAGGTTACAATATGTTGTGCAATAACAGTTAATTATTCACCCTTTTGTAACACAGTGTAAAACAGTCAAAGAAAGCTCATAGCACAATGTCCAGTCAGTCAATGTGTCAGTCTGGAATAATCACTTAGCTTTAAAGCGACATCACTGAAAAACGTTAAAGGAATCTCAGCTGAACCTTTGGAGGTAAAATGCCCTTGAAGTTTTGTTGCTTATTGTGCAACAAAATGGCTTAATATTGGTGTCTGCATCCGCTTAACAGAGCTGCCTGCTGAATGCAGGTTTATTTTACAGTACATGTGTGAAGAAAATTTAGGGACTTGAGCTGGTGTCTGCTTAGTCAAGGGTGTCCGCTTAATATGGGGTCTGCTTAATACAGGTTTCACTGTACTAGTTCTCATATGGCCACTTAAGCAGAGTTGAACTGGTCTGGCCATGACCTGTTATACACACCATTCTCTTGTCTCCAGAAAAGATTTTCCTGTGAAAGGACAAGACCATGCTACTTTGCTTTAATGTAGCTGTAATGTTCTTCCTACGAAAAACCCGTCTTGCCCTTCTTGCCAAAAGTCTTCATTTTCCTAGCATAATATTATTGTTTCTAAACAATTATTGAAATCAATCAATAACACTAGCCTTTTCTGTTTTCCTCATCAAGTTTTCAATTCCTAAACTTTCAATCTTTCTTTTGTTCCCATCGATAGGTTGTAAAGTCTGCTGGTTCCCTCCATTAGCAGACACAGTTCTCTTGCCTGCAGCTTGCAACAAAAAATTTCATATTTGATAATTTCATCACATTTTCTCTTCTTTAGAGAGACGTTAGTCAGATTAGCTTAAACCTCAATGCCCTAATACTTAGCTAAAGTTAATCAAAGGTAATATCTCCAGCGAAAATATTTTAATTCATTTTGATGCCAAAAAAAAAAAATTGGTTCATGCTTAAAACTGACCTTAAAGTAGAGCATATAGATATATTTTAGACAGTATTTCATTCTTAATTATAATATACATTTTAACTAAAGAAAATAATGTCAACGGCTAAGTACAATCCTGTAAAACTTGTGCAACCAATTGAAATAAACAAACACATTTAGTTGTACTCCACAAAAACTCACAAGTTGTGTAATTTATCTATTATCCTCAACATGCAAAAAAAAAAAATCAAAACTAAATGTTCTGCACATCATAAATATATGTTATATTTGAAAGTAACAAATTAAAATATTTATGCTGCTTACAATGTCTATGGTTATCTTCCTGTTGTTTGCCCAGTTCTACAATTTTTAATTTTCTTGAACAGAAGTTGTTCTCTTGCTGGTAACCTAAAAGATAAAGAATGAAGTTCTAATGATTAGTGAGTTTGTCCACTTTTTGCTCATGTCTGGTCCTGTCAGAGAAAAATACCAGTTGATTGAATTGGTTGTGAATTCTGGTCACTGAGAATGTGAGGTTCCAGAAAATATCCAATTACCAACCCCAAGGAGGGTTATTTAAAATTCCAAGCAGGGTCCCTTGCCCAAAGCCAAAATTTTTAAAGGAATTAAGTGTGAACCAAAACCAGACAGATCTCCAGAGGGAGGGGAGATCAAACCAAAATACCTCAACGGGAGGATTATCCATATTTTCTTGAACACAATGAAATGACGCCAGTTTTCATCCTTATAAGATTTTCACCAATTGACTGAAAAGCGTCAAATCTTGTACTATAATGTTCACATAATTAATATTTCTTAAACTCAATGATAAACACTTGCCATCAATAACCCTGGTTTCCATTAACTGTATGTTTATATGCAGGGGTGGGTTTTGACATGGTTAGTATTTATGAGGAATAACTTAGTTAGCCCAAGGTTCTCCAAACTGACTCTAGGTCAGTTGTTGATTATCATCAGCTGTCATTTGACCTCTCTTTGTTTCTCGTTCGCTTGTTCTAGTCATTTGATTCACCCTCCCTCCCTCCCTCCCGGAGTTCCACTTGAGTCTCCAGACCCTCTCGCTTGTTAATAAAGATGCCCAAACTGATTCACTAGCTCTTAGTCTTGCCTGTCGAGGTACTCAGGGAGGGACATCAGGGGATAATTTTTTAGTTGCTTTGGAAATCCACCTTGATCAGCACTCCTTTTCAGACTATTAATTTTACAATCTTATTTCCTCTTGCTAGATATAAAACTGTGATTGAATTTCTTCTCAGTTTTCAGTATGAGAGTGATGACAAAAGTAGTCACAACAAAGAAGAAAGAGTGGTGAACAAGATTCACAATTATAAAAAAATTGCCATAATTTCAAATGAAGAGGTCTTTATCACACTAGAGTGCTCCCTGTCCCCCACAACTGCCTTTTCCTTCTTTTTTCCCTCTTTCTTCATAAGAACCCCCATCTTATCCAGGGTGCATTCCGCAAGACTTGCACGCCTAAGATATGCCAAGGCTTTTTAAATTTCACGCCACACTGCCAACAGCCAGCCATAATCCAGTCTCTTTCTCTTATTGGTCTCTTCAAATAATCCCAATTTTCTTTGTATTATGTTCACTGGAAAAATCTGGACTCGCATGGATCACTGAAGATGCCCGTTATCAGCCAAGATACGGTATTCAATATGGGGAATAAAGTGAAGTTCAGAGGCCATAGTTATGGATGCACCCTGGCATCTTATGAGACAAAAATTTAATATATTCAGAGATGCCAACTAAATTGACATAAACATCAAGTTACCAAAATGACTATTTCTCAACCATCATTATGTTGTTTAAAAGTCAGTTATGCCATTTCAGCCCCCAAAATAAATTTTATCCTGAGAAATTATGTCAAAAAATTATCAGCCAAAATCAGTGTAAAAAATGTACTTAGAGCCTTTCAGTCTCTGGGGAATTTGGTGACCCATATGATATGGGACACGGAAATCTGGGGAGACTCCTCAGTCTAGGGATGTCTGGGAGAGTTGACATCAGTGATATATTGCAAAATCTAGTGAATAGCTCCCACCATCCATTTTTTTGTCTTCATCTTTCTTTCCATAATTCTTTGTGTTGGAGTTAGCCTGCTTGGATAAAAGTATTGCTAACTTCTTCTTAATAAAGTTCTCTTGTACTTCTTCCTTTCTTGATTCACTGATAGATTCATCCTAAAATTATCAAAATATTACAGTAAATTTTGGGATGTGATAAGTTTGATTTTAATCCATGTATACCTGCTGTCTGACCACTTTTACCACACATGTCAGTCTGGGCAAACGAAATACCACACAGTACATTAAAAGTAACCATTCAAAAGTAGAAATAACAACAGCACACTATGAAAGCCTGTTAATATTTGTAGATGGTGTGATTTCCAGAACTATAAAACAGCAAAATAGGGGTTTTTGGGGGCCATTTTTGAATAATATCACACTTAAGTTAAAATTAAGGTGCTCTTACCAGCATCATCACTATGGTAACCTGTTATGCCATGAAGATGACAATAACATATAAGCAGTAAGATTTTGATAATTAGCGCTTTTGTTGGAAATTTTCCTAAAAAAAGCACTGCCTAATTATCAACGCCTTACTGCTTCTATGTATCTCGGCTTATTCTTATGAGCTAGTGAGAACCAGCAGTAGGTTACAAAATTATTTACTTTGAAACGCGGAAAACCGTGAATACCAGAAGAAATTAAGGAATGTTATTGTGTCGCAAGAAAAAAGTCAATACGGTGAGAGAAAAGTTAACCGCAAACGCTAACGGTAATATTGTTTGTGCTTTTGAGGTTTCCTTGAGTGTTCTGAACGTTATTGTGGTTGGTCAGTACACCTGTCAGAATCAAATCGACGGTTTTCCGAGCTTCACAGTTAAAAGCCAATACGCTCACATACACCTTTGTAGATGATCCATCTTCGCTAAAGTTATCAGCTATGGACTCAAATTGATCAGAATAGTCTTGTTCTTCTGTTATTGCACCAGTTTTATTCGCGGAAACTGTCGCAATTATGCTGGGAGTCGATTCATCATAGCCTTCACTAATAGTTTGCCCAAATGGTGAGCTCTCTTGAATTTCTTCTGCCGAAGTGGAAGATTCTGCAAGAAATACACTTTCGCGTCTGCCCATCGCGAAATGAGAACTTCTATGACCAGCTAGTACTGACTCTTCTGCTGTTTCGAAACTGTCGTCCTCATAAGAACTGTTATAAATATTTTTTCGATCATCCAGCGATGATGACATTTTTCCACATTTCCCGCGCTCTCGCCCAGGTCCAGTTTGCTCCGGTACAATTTGTGTCCTCATACATGACGGACCTATTCTCGCACGTTTACGGGATGAATAAACGAACGAACGTCGCGTGGAAAAACAAATGTCGCATTCTGAAACTCTAACGCCGCATTGTGAAACTCTTAATGTCGAATGTCAGAGAACAAAGATAAAATGTAAGCTGAACATTGAAAGCGAAAGTCGAATTTTGGCGGGTATAGAAGCACAATTTCTTGGGGACATGTTTTTTACCACGTGCACGCGTCGGGAGCTGTATGGGCGAGGAGGAAATCAAATATAGAAACACGTGAAACTCTATGCAACACGTGAAAAACGAACTTTTCAATAACAAAGCAGGTATTTCATGGGTAAACCTGGTTAGAATAGATGTAGCAAGAAAACAGCTGTAACCAGTTTGCGGCCGGGCCAGTTGTTCAACCGGCCATGCCCACTTCCATTTATTCTTTACTCGAGTATCTTGCAAGTCACTCATAAACTAGAGCGTAACAGACCACTATAAAAATAAAGGCCATCAAAAAACAAATTTTCAGTCTGATCGAATCTTGAGTCCGTTGAAAATGATTTTGTTCCGATTCCTTTCCCCTCCCAACTAAGTGCCTAAGCTTATCACATTATAACTTTGTCAGGAGAAATATTGAGGTAAACTGTTTTTCCGGTCTCAAGAACGTTGGAAAACAACGTTTTTAAAACAGTTTCTGGGGGTTCTTGCCTTCAGTCCCCAATAAAGGCTGGCGCCTTTGCACACGCAACCAGCCTCAAAGAGGAAAAATGTTGGTCACCCCAGTTAAAGGGCTCTGGTCTTGAGAGGATCTGGCTATTATATTTTATACGGAGCATGTCGAAACGAAGGAAATCACTGTGAAACTCAGTTCGAAAGATAATTAAACATGCTTTCAGGGACACAACTTGGAGTAAAAGCAATAAGATTTCGCTTCACCATGCAATATCAATAATTTCAATGGCATCGAAAATGGCGAGGCTGACTAGGGTCCTCCAGAAGAATTTCTGTAGAAGCCGAAGTGACGGCATTTCAGTGGACCGGAGCTGGAACCAGACCATCGCTTACGTTGATCAGCCGCCAAACAAACGCAGATCTTTTTGCTGTTTTACTGATTACATCAGGAAAAATGCTGCGCCTGACTAAATTTGGCAAATGCATATTTGTCAGACTTTATGAATATTAAATTGATGCGAGCAGTGGATGCAAATGTCATTATGTGTTCAACTTGTTTAGTTTCTTCATACTTAGTTAACTTAATTTGTAACTTTATTCACTTTTGTATTTTGATGGATAGGCTTTTATCTTCTAAATAATTACGTTGTTTAAAACTTTAATTTGTCTATAGCCCTGATACTTGTAACTCGCCAAAGTTAGGTGTCCCCAATAGCTGTTATAGCAGTTATCAGCGGCTTGACACACAAACGAGGCGAAAGGGTCAATTCTGTATTGTACTGACCCTGCTGCCCTTTCGCCTCGTTTGCATACCTATTATTATTATTATTATTATTATTATTATTATCATCATCACCATCATCGTCATTATTGTTATTGTTATTATTATTATTATTATTATTATTATTATTATTATTATTAAAGATTCGCACAGCTATTGATGATATTGAAGCTGGTTTCGTC